AGATTACTATAAACTAAACTAAACAAAAAATTTTAAACCGAATCCCTACGGTTGATTGAAGATCAGTTGGATCTTTTACAAAGAGTGAAAGTATAGTACGTTAGACTTGAAAAACGGTTTTTTTTCAAATGTTCGTCAAAGAAGCTAGTCGCAAATATATTTCTTTTATTATCCCTAACGGACATTATGAGTTCTTAAGGATGTCGTTTGGTCTCAATTCATTTCCTTACCTTATAATACCTTCAAAAATATGTTAACGCAATTTTTCATAATTTGATGATAGAGGGAAATGTCGCAATACACATAGACGATTTAATCATACCATCAATCAACATGCAAGAAAGATACGGTTTAAGTTAGTATTAAAAATGGCGGTTGAATATGGATTCTATCTATCTATTGCTCTAGCTATTTTTCAATTGGGGAAAATGTCAAAATCAAAAGTAGTCTATTTAAGATATATGATAGAAGACGGAAAAATTACATCTTCCGAGGATAAAAATTATGCCGTAGGACATTTTCCGAGGCCTACCAACGTGCAATCGATACAAGAGACCTTGCGGGATATTTTCGCAAATTCATATCCCAGTGCGCACATAGCACGATCATTGACGGACTTGCTAAAGAACGAAATGAAGTTTCATTTCGGGAAAGAAACACGTTTAATCATCACGCGTTTAATCAATTGAAACAAGCTTTTAGCAATAAGCCTGTATTGTAATTGTATCAAGTGACAGTGGGAATATAATAGAACTTCATATCGATTCTTCTGCTCTTGGATTTAATCATTTACATCTAGTAATTTTATATCATATTGTAAAGACAAAGGCATTGAACATAATCTGATTGTTATCAGTATACCAAGAGGCAATGGTCAAATTGAACGAATAAACCGCATATTAATTCTGCTGTTAACCAAGCTGCTGATGCCATAGCCGTCTCAGTAGCACAAATTTATTGCATGGGCGCAACAATATTTAAATAATGTACCGAGCAGAAGCATAGGAATGACTTGCTTCTGTTTCCTATTTGGAACACGGATGAGACTTAAGGAAGACGTCTAAGTAAAAGAAATCTTAAATGCAGAAAACGTTGTTATCTTTCAAAAGAAATGTGCCTATTTAAGAGAAAAAGTCTATGAAATAATTGCTTCAAAGTTCAAACCGACACTAAACAAAATTACGATAAAAAACAGAAGAAGCCGAACACCTACTGCGAAGATAATCTAATAGTTATTCAACGAATGCAAGGTGGGCCAAGGTTGAAGCTCTATACGAAATATTTGGGATTCTACAAGATCAAATGTGTCGTACGATTGTTATCTTGTAGAAAAGTGGGTGAAGGAGAAGGTTCATGAAGGATGACCGTCGATCATATGAATCTGTGGGCCAAAGAAAAAGTTACCAAATGAGAATAACATTTGAGGACAGTCGGATAGCCGAGTGTAAGATTAGAGTTTTATAACACATTTCATAAAGAAGCAATTACACATAGAGAGATCACGGTGTGTGAGCTACAGTGACATTCAGCAATGCTCGGTGCGAGTTCGGCGCTGGAGAGAAAGGGGGCATGCGCAGAGAGCAGACAGTACTAAGCAAATGAAAATATGAGCGAGAGAGGGAGCGAGTTCTGTATTTTTTCAAGAAACTAGAACAATACAAAGCGCGCGCTTCGCGCGCGCCATTTCTTTTCTGACATCGTATTTTTTGTTTTTTTATATTATATAATTTTATATACATTTTTATATACATCAAATTTATATACATCAAAATATATTCTCTTCTTTACCTAAAAAATTTAGAAAAAAGAAATCATGCATATATTTCTTTATATACGTAATTTTTAACTTATTTATTATCGCTGATTACCAAGATAAACTTTTAATGCTTGCCAAGATCGTACTCGTGAAAAAGCGACATAAAGTTGTCCATGATTAAAAACATCTTTGCGAAGGTCTATTCCTACTCTGTTAAATGTCTGTCCCTGTGACTTATTAATTGTCATAGCAAAAATTAATTTTATCGGGAATTGGTCTTCTTTTAAAAGTAAAAGGATATACATTTTCGCAATACAATTTCGAATACAATGTTATTCGGTTTAAGAAAACAATTTGTCCTACTTTATCATCTGTTAATATTTTGCATTTCAATAAATGATCAGTAAGTTCTATAATTATCAATCTAGTGCCGTTGCAAAGACCTTCATTGATACTGAGGTTTCTAATCAACATAATGACATAATTCGGTCTTAAACGTAATTCATAAGGAGGAAGATATGATGGAGACAAAGTATTTAAATATTCTGGTAGTAAAACTTCATTAATGTCACCATTATCATCACAGTTTTCAGTACAATCTGTACTTGTATAAATTCGTTCTTCAAACATATCTAATAATTTGACAACTCATTTATTAATTTCATCTACATCAGCATTTCTTGCAGAAAGTATCGTACACTTAGCCATTTTATTAAATTCTTTATTTCGTATTAGATCATCATATATTTCTTCTACAATATCAGCATTAATGCGTACGATACAACGATTCGAAAGTTGTATATTATCATTAGAATCATTTAATATGCCATTTCCCATATCTAATAGAAATTTTGCAAATTCAGTTTCCTCTGGAAGAACTCGCATGTTTTCTGTTAAAGAGAAATTTATAAATTCTTTCCAAATAGAACTAAATTTGATTGACAGAATCACGATTTCACTTCGTGTACCATGTAATTTAATGGGAAGAAGTTGTCTAAAATCATCACCTAATATGATAATTTCTCCACCAAAAAATAAATCATTATTCATGATATCACGCAATGTTCAATCCATAATCTCGAGAGTATATCATGGTGCCATTGGCTTCATCCCAAATAAAAATATCTGTTTTTTTAAATAACGAGCTTCTTTTGATTGAATTTTAATGTTGTATCTGATGATGAATCTGCAAATAATGGAACTGGCAATCCAAATGTTTTATGAATCGTTTTTCCTGCTGGTAATAATGTTGCTGCAATGCCTGTAAAAGCCTGTAAAAGTAATTGTACAAATACATTTATTACGAATTTTAGCTAAATAATAGATAATTGTATACATAAATGTTTTACCTGATCCACCTGGATCATCGATATAAAAACAATTACTATTATGATTATTATTATCTAATCTATTTAATACAAGATCTACTATTTCTTTCTGCTTGTCATTTAATTGTTTATATTGTTTAGTACCAATTTCCATAACATCTTCACATGATCCTCCTCTTCATAATTTTCTGTCAATTGTTCCATTTGTGGAAAATCGGCAAGACTTTTACCTTCAATATAAAGCACAGAATTGATTTGTGCATATGTTGTCCTTGTAACATACCAAAATATCGAACATAATCTTCTGACATTGCTATTTTAAAATTTTCCCAGAGCTCTTCAGAATGCAACGGTTGACAATGTAATAATATACGTACAAATAATCTACGAAGTTGTTTTGGCATCATTCATCTAACAGCTTCATTCATAGCTCGTCTCCATTCATCATTATCTTCAATTAATCCTAAAGTTAAATATGCCGCTGAAAATGATTGACATATTTTTCCATTTACAGTTTTTATATCATCGAAACTTATTTCTTCTTTTACAGTGAGTAATAATAGTCGTAAATGAAATAAT